TGATTAAATGAGTTGTATAGTGTTAGGTTTATATCATAAATCAGAATCTTCAAAAGAAGTTTCTAACTTCAAAAACAAATCTGCTAAAGTGCAATTCAGAATGTCGGTATTTCATTATTATCTAGGGTTGCACCTACGAAATCCTTTGAGGAAACAGGATAGCCTTTTTGAAATTAAGAATAAGACATAGATGTACAAAAAGATGTGTATTAACTAACATATTCTGTATAGTTGCATCTGCTCTTTAGGAGTTAGACACAGAGGGAACTCTGCCTGATCGTTATCTTTTAAAATTTCCTTTTTATATATTTATAATATATAAAGCAAAATAAATTAAAGATCAAAAGGATATAACATTCCACGTTAAGTAAAAGCTATCTTGGTTCTCTCTTTTTTCATACTTCCAAAATGCTCACTCTGTTATTGGAAAACACTGTGAGAAAAATAGAGCTTTAAGAGTACCAATAAGCTCAGAAATGAAAGATGGAAAGAAGCTGTGAAAACCAATGATGACACTCTTAAGCATGAATTAGCTGCTTTTAAGCTGGATTCCTTAAGTCAAAACATCTTTCCCCATATTGCCTGATTTTTTTCTTTTATGTTAGATTATACTGTTAGAAATTCTACAAATTGGATTGTTTGGTTTCATTGGAATTCTCTTTAATCCTATTCTTAGTCAAGTTGAAGCAAGGAAAGATCCTTGTTTTCTCTCTTGTTTTTATTTCCAAAATCTAGAATTCAAGTTAGTATTATTAGATTATATGTTTAGCCCAGTGTAGATATCTTCTGTAGGAATATCCTGTGAATTTCAACATCATTAAATATGGTTGGAATGGGGCAAAACTCTTCCAAAATTAAGTATACTTGATTGCATTTCTTTTCTTTCAGTTTAGAGCCACATTTGAAAACGAAACCAGAGGTGACTGCATAAATAATGACTACACAGTAAATATCCTTAAGCCCTATCATTTTAAATCCAAGAAAGTTATTTGAATTGGGTAGATAAGAAAAGAATCAGGGTCTCTAAAAATTTGGAGAAATTCTATCCAAAATAGGAAATAGAGGTACCTCAGAATGCTAATAGCCAGAATGGGGAAAAACCAGATGGAGGGAGGTCTTTCTCATTGTTAGCACACTCAGCTGTTTGTTTTTTTTAATTCATTCAAACAACAGGGATATGGTACTTGGAAAACAAGTTGGAAAGTAGACATTCAGATGAAAAGACAGGGAATTCTTTCCGGATCGAAAGAGGACAACTGGTAGGCTTAGGGAATTCATGGGACATGAAGAGTACAGTTTGATTTTTAGCTTGGAATTTTCCAAAGGGAAAACTTCTTAAAATATTGAAACCTATCAAAGATCTAGAGAAAAATGCCAGAAGAAAATAAATGCTAAAAGCTTTGAGACATTTATTTTGAAGCCTTTAGACTTTAGAGCAGAAACTTGACTCTCCTTATAAAAATAACAACACAAAAAATTACCATCTTTTCAAAAGTGTTACTTTCCCCACAAAAGAAAAATTCTTGGAGATATATTTATCTTTTCTACTCCATGAAGGAAGAAATGAAGAAAAAAGTCAGAGTCTAATCAAAGGACATTCTTATTAAAAATTCACTTTTTAGGCCTACTGGAATCTTGTAGGTATATTCCAAATAAGTGTGAAGATCTAGGGCTTCCCAAATTTTCTCTGATGAGAAACAAAAACCAGTAAGTAAAAGGGTTGAAGTGAGGAAAAAACTCTTAGCAGGGAAGGAAGGGGAGGGATTTAGTTCCCTAGGAATAGGGAGGCAGCTTCTCATATCCCTGTTTTCCAAAGGAAAGAAGTACACCAAGACGTTTATGACTCATCTTTAGAGAAATACTAAATGATATTTACTCATGGGTACATACCTTGACAGAAATGCAAAACTGATGTTAACATACACTAGCTTCACTAAGAAAATTATGTACCAAAATATTAGTAAATAATCAAGTAGTGGCTTGTTTTAACTAAGAAATACGTATCAAATGAGGAAAACTGAAAAATCAGTAGATGGAAAAAATTTTAATTACATGTCTTAAAAATAAGTCAGTTGTCAATATAGTATCACTCACTAGCTTAGATAAAATATTTTAATGACTATTCAGCCTGTTACTGTGTATCTTTACTTCAATACAATCAGGCTTGGTATTATATTAGTTGATATTATTTTAAGCAGCATACCTAAAAAGAATGGTAAAACTGGAAAACCTTAATCTGTTAGTTCACTAATTTAAAATCGATGCCTGCTATTTATCCTGACAGGTCAGAAAGTAGGTATCAAGATAACCAGTATATAGAAAACTGAAGAAGGATTATTATCAGGTGGAAAGGACAAAAATGACAATGTGAAAACAAGTAGTCTTGAATGGCACTTGATTTCTGAGAGGAATCATGAGAATGCAGGAAATATTAGCAACTTTATGCAATACATAAAAGCAAAGAGACAAAAACACATATAGCAGGTCCAACAAACAGCAATAACTGTAACTGCTAATCAGAGAGTGGTACTCAACATGGAAGGACAGAGCTGATAGCATATTTTTAGGAATTTATGCATAAGAATGGAAACACTGAATAGAGTTGAAAGAAACAGCACTGATTAAGACTATTACACCCACGCTTTGGAAAATTTTGCTCCTTTCCCCAGAAGTCTATAGAGATTTCAGAATACATTTTAGTCAAAGTATAGGCCTACGGGGTCAACAATTTATTATCATAACAATAGGGAATGTTGAAGCATGATATCAAAGTTGGATTGGATGTCCCTGTAAAGTCTTTTCTAGTCCTTTGATTCTGTATTTTAATACTATCCAAACACTATTTCTGGGAAAGATATAAAATTTTTTTGTGTATATGACCCCAATTCATTATTTTAGTTAAATATAGCATAAATCCATGAAACACACTCCTACATCTGGGAGTTATGTATAAATTTGTTTGAAAATATTGTACTGCCATTTTTGGCAGAAATTTATAAAGCAAGTATTATAAACTAAATCATACCTCTTTTTCTAAGCCATCCTTCTGAAATCAGCTGCCGGGAAAGGAAGTTAAAGTCTTAATTTTCCAAGATCCTTTATCTTTTGACAAGCTACCATCTTTCTGATTGTATTAGAGATTTTGGGAAAACAGGTTGCAAAGTTATTACTTTGTGATTGGTACATGTATTTGTATTATCTATTTTACTCTAACACAGTGAATTTCAGATATCTTCAGATTGACCTTTCAAAATGGGAACTAAGTAAATAAAAACTTCTCAAATTTATGTGTTGAAGATATACTACAGAAAAGAGAAAAATTAAAATGGGCTTTACTTAGTTAGATAAGGAGAATTTTTACCCTCTGATTCTGTTTTTAGAAGTAACATGTTTGGTCTATCAAACCAGGCCATAAAGAAAGTTGATGATGTTTTCTATATATACAGGTTGACAATAAATTCTGCAGTTTTAATTAGCTTCTCAAAATAAAGCTAAATTCTAAGAAAGTGTATATGTATGAATTATATATATGCATATGTATATAATGTGTATATGTATATAATTTATATATGTGTATATACATAGTAGATGTGTGTATGTACATAATCTATACAGCTCTTTGGAAGAAACATACTTGGATATCAATTATTATCAAAATTCCTTATCCAATAATACATCATTAACTTTTATTAACAGTGCAGGATTTGTTTAGCATCATGTTTAACATTTTGAAAATCAAAACATTAACTTTTTTTGTTCTCAAGGATAGTTCTATTAAAAGATCTTTAACATCAGTGGTTAATAATGTTTATTTACAGAACAAAAACTTTTGACATTTCATTGTGGGACTTTAAAAGTCTATTAATATTTAATAAGTCTATATTTCTAAAAACTGAGAATAATGTGCATGGGATACTTGTATGCTAGTATATAATCATATAGTCCTACTGTTCTCATGAAACCACTTGGCTGGCAAACATATTCATTATGGTTTCAAAGAAACACCCTATTTCACTCACCAGTAAAATCTTTGGGATCTAAGTCCTATCATTTCTGCTTCTGCTGTTGAACATGTATACATTTGGGGATGGAAAAGGGGAGAGGAGAGAGATTTATTAAGGTAATGCCAATATTTGTGGATTTTCCTCTTCTGTCCTAAAATTAGGAAGTTGGTAAAAGAAAAGGCAAATGAATGTAAAATGGATTTTTTATACTATTACAGAAATTTTAGTGATTAAAAACACTTAAGCTTTGTTCTGTAACTTTTGAACAATTTTATAAGAATTGGCTTTAGAATCAGAATTTAAAGTTTTCCTTTGGTGTAAGAAATAGTTTTGCTTTTTTATGAAAATAATTGTCTTTTTAAATATTAATAATATCTGTAATTGAATATATTGGTAACATATAAGAAGAAAAGTTCAAAAGATTAAAGCATTCAAAGAACGCCAAAATATAGTGGAATATCAGTCAGCGTTATGGGATCATGTCAGAGGTGAGCCCTTCTTTTATCAAAACAATTCTATTAGGTGATCCATATTATATAAATTTTGGTACCAAATGGCTTATATTAGAGGAAGGCTGCAGCATTATCACAAATATGAGAGAAAAAGTTTAATACAGTCAAATTAATCACATGAAAAGGTAAGAACACTGATCATGTTGAATTTTTTCTAATATTTGGAAAATGTTATAAAAAAGTATAAATATTACTCAAATTTTGAAAACCATGGCAGAAGCAAAATTAAATAAGGAGTAGCAGTAACAAATAAAAACTTAGACAAAAGCATATTAAATGACAAAATAGCAAATAGTGGAACTGAATCATTAAGATCAAATGTACTTATACTAAAAGGCATGAAAGTATTAAAAATTCTATTAGAAAGGACTCATCCTAAATATTAAAATAAATAGCAAAGACTATTAAACATTACTTCTAAAAGACTGAAAGGAAAGAAATAACACAAAGCAGAGAAAATGAAAGACACCTCACTATTCCCAATGTGGTTATTATTTATGGAATGGATAAAACATGTTGTAGAAAATGTCACTACAGTTAGATTAACACATAAACAAACCAACATGCCACAACTACCTAAATAGTTTTGTAGAACAGCTGTAAAAGCAAATTTCATCAAATTTAGACAGCTTATAATGGAATAAATAAGTATGGCGAGGTATTAACTAACCCTAAGTATCACAACGGGCAGCTTCTAGCCGGTTCGTTGAAGCTGGATCTCGGCCACACAAGGATCATTGGACAAGAAATCAGTTGAGCTGGACTAGAGCTGCCCAATTGTCTTAATAATGAATGCTCCACACTGTCTGTTAAGTAAAGAGAAAGAAAATACAGATCAGAAAGACTGAACAGGAAAGAAAAAGATCGTTAGGGTAGATGAATGTAGGACATCAATGAACATTTACTCAATACTTGCAGAACGTGTACTAATTATATTAGAGTGTTAAGAAGTGAGAGACTAGAGATGAGGAGGGCTCCAGAACTGCTTCCTGCTCTCTGAGAGCTTACAATCTATTTTAGACAATCTCTAATCTAGTGTCACAGTACAATGCTTAGTATATAAAAATGAGGAACAGGTCAACACAGAAATAAGTGAGTTAAAACATTCCTTTTATTTTTGAAAACATTATTAGGTGGGTTTTAAAAACATGCGTTTAGGGGCGCCTGGGTGGCTCAGTCGGTTAAGCGGCTGCCTTCGGCTCAGGTCATGATCCCAGGGTCTTGGGATTGAGCCCCGCATCGGGCTCCCTGCTCGGCAGGGAGCCTGCTTCTCCCTCTCCCTCTGCCTGCCTCTCTGCCTACT